ATTTCAAAAATTTTCATCAGAGCGGAGGTGGGTCCAGTTAGGATGGGGGCTGCTACCGCGGGTGTGGTCCCTGGACCAAAATTTCTGGTCAACTACAACGTGCGGCAGCCCAATTTCTGTAGATGACTTGTTGTTGCAAGAAGGGATAGTTGCTATGCAAAACACATCTATATCTCAATTTCAAAAAAGTCGTAGTCTAAGGGTTAGTGGGCGTGGTGTATGGTAGTGGACGTGGCAAATGGTGGATTCTTGGGCATTAGCGCCTCAGCCTTGTTAGCTCGCAGCGCCTAGTGGACACATGCTCTGCGCTAGTGTTTCTCCACATATTTCTTGCGCGAGAGCTTCATCTCATGCAGAAATTTCGATCTTTGCCTTCAAACGCACTGATATGTCAGCCATTTTATCGTTGAGCAATGAGTTCCATGTTTCAGAATCCGGTTTCTTTAACACATTGATGACAGCGCGGTAACTATGTATGCCACCATCCTCACACCACGTCGGACACTGTGGCAACTATGTATGCCACGTTCGCCCCATATTTTTTCGCACATGCACGCCTTCCTTCCAGGTTTTTTGTGTTCATTTCTATAGGCCATACATCACATAACCAAAAACCACGTGGCTCACAGAATGGCCAAATATTCTTTAGTTTGGCAGAGGTTTTCCAGACCTTACGAAAATGTCTGTTCAGTTCATTCCTCGTTTTCTTTTCATTAACGTAAACATGTTGATAAAAAGAATAATAGAAGTGAATACAAACCTATTCGTATGGAAGATATGTGTTTTTACTGAAACAACCACGTCCAAAATAATTTTGAAACCACTAAAGGAAAGTAAGTAAAATTTGCCTTCTTGTACCCATAACACGTTATTTTGGTCGAACCTCCACTACTCCAACTATCGATAAGTTAGGCACATTCCATCGCATACAAGTTTTGCTTGTTTAGCTCAAATACTTGATTATGAGGTGCTACGACGGGCCTGCAAAAACGCGCAGGTCTCTTGCGGCCGAAAAAGCCAAAACGATGTTGTCAGCATGTTGATCTCCTCCATTAGGCGTTTGAGTTAGACTCTGTATTGTCATTCATAGAGATCTATTTCGAATTTTTTTAATTCGGCGCATAAGAGTTGGACATGAGACCACACCGTATAAGAGCACAGACACCACGTCGCAAGATTGGCACGACCGCTGCGCTTGTGACCCCTCTTGTCGCAAGGAGGAACTCCAATAAACTAAATTCAAAGTGTTCTTTCAAACATTAGGAAATCCTTAGCTTTCAGCACCAGATTGGAGCCAAAGAACGCGCTAGGAACGGGATGATTCGGAACCAATCCCCATGCCGCTACATATTACATTACGCTCCAAAAGTGTAGAGGCACCAGCTTTAAAAGTTTACAGAAAGGAGGTGGCATACTCTAGGCCACAGGACAAATGCACAGTAACCGAGCATTACACTGCGCTCGTTAATAGTAACCTTCAAATCAAGAGATATCTAAAGATGGAAAAGAGCGACAAAGAGTCTCATTCATGGGAATCGCGGCGAATAGCTAAAGCCTGGCTGAAACACATTCCACAGTTGCATGCAAAATGTGGTACGACTACACAATGCGTGAAAGTCAGGACAGAGCGCTATACAAATGTAAATCGTCGCTATCTCTTTGCTTTTCGTCATCGATGGCTTGGTCAAATGCACTATTCGTACCTGATACAGTTCACCACCAATGGTCTAAAAAGTTGCCGTATGTCAACAAGTGGATTAAATGAGCAAAGTTGATCAATTGCTTTGGGATCTAATTCGTTGTGAGGGCCTAAAAAATTGACTCTACACCTGTACCGATAACGGCCTTCCCTAAAGCATTTTCTATAAATTTAGACCATAGGAAAATTACAAAGTGTAGGTGTTTGGCTTGCGCATGAATAAAAACCTCATGAAATTATGCTATAAGACAAAATATTTTGCATACAACAATATATGCAGTGGAGGGCAACAGCTGAGGAATCATCAATTATGGTCAATATCCATCAATTATGAAGGTGAATATCCCTTGTCAATAAAAATCGAAATCGAGCCCGACCTTTGCCTTTAACTAGGCCTGAGCATAGACTCAATAAATATAATCATTGCGCATCAGAAGCATCTTCTGCGATTTTTTCTCGCTTGAAGGAGTTTTTCAACTGTATTCCTAATTCAGCCGAACGTATCTTCAGCTCATCCCAGAGCGACTCAACTGAGTTTCGGTGAGGCAATTAGAGGCAGAATTTACGATGAAAAGTTAGCTCATTGGAAATAAGGATAGAGCTGGTCAGTGTACTAGGTGAAAGGAAATAAACCACCTTGAAACGCCTCCAATAAATGCCCGCCGACGGGGGGGGGGGGGAATATTCCACTAGAAAAACAGTAAAAAATTTAGCCGAAAATTCCCGGCTCATTTCAACCAATTTACCCCACTTTCTACCTATAATCCCACTGCTTCATTTTCTAGGGGGGTATATACGCGCGCTGAAACGGCGAATTTTTCTCCCATGCGCTCCCAACTCACCTAGCCTACTACTCGTGAAAACTCCACTTTCACCACAAACTCACATGTACTTTCACGCGACTGAAGCGGATACGACCCCCCTCCTATAAACTCAACCAGGTACGACCCCCCGTTGTTACTAGTAACAACGTAGGATTGACCCTGCTCTCACGCGTGCCCTCTTCAAGCCGCTGAACGGCCCCTTCTTTGCAATCAGTCACGTACTGAAATGACCTGCGACGAAGCGATAAATAGTAAAGGTGGACGGCCCTGCCAACAGCGCCAAAAGCCATTCTAGATTCGCCGAGAGCCACATACCTTCGCTCCAATACGCGCGCGACGGTCCCACCGCTCAGATCGCCGCCCAACTATGCAAATTTCCCCTCTTGACGATTCGTCTTATGAATACCTCTTTAAGGGTAGGATTCTACATAAGGCTAGGTCCGAGGAACCAGAGCCTACTAAGTAAGAAAGCGGGACCCTGAAGGCGAGCCGACCCGTAGTTCGCACCGAAGGATATGTCCCGCAATCTAGCATGGCCCTCCTCGCTGCTGCACGCGCCACCCTTTCGGCCGTCTGAGCCGCTAGCCGTTCAGCAGCACTGAGTGTTAGCGTTGAAGAGAGCAACTTCAGCGATGCTGCCCTCTCAACGCAAACACTGACTGCTGAACGCAACGCATCAATGCGGGTATCAACAGGAAAAAAAAAGTCGCAATTCTCGGATCCCTTTCTGGTTCTTTCCAGTTCTATATTCTCCCATCACTGCACTGATGCCTTCTACTCTTGTTTCGACAGACTACTTTTCATGCAACTTCGCTCTCACTAAAGTCACTAGTCACTGCTTCTTATAGTCCTGCAACATTAGCAAACCCCATGTGAGAGGCAGTGTAAGAGCATCTAACATAAAATGAACTAGTTGCTTAAAACATCTACGAGGGAAGGTCATCAGGCCGGTCCGGCCATTTGCAATGAGTCGTATACCGTTGAAGTCGCCTCGAGGCGCTGAGCTCAGAACTGCCTTCCTTATCTGCTAAACGATTCTCTGAACGTAGTTATAAAGCAAGGAAGCGCAGTGGCAGTGCCCCGAACTCGCGAGCAAGAGGTCGGGAACGGCTCCTCGGAGAGTCTGTTTCTTTTGTGCTTCGTGAAGATGTAGCCAGAAAGCTTCTAACTTCTTAATTTATCAACTTTGCCGTTAGTTCCCTGTACGAAAAAATTTCGAGCAGTTCCTTGCAGGTTTGGGCAGTAGTCGTCCATGTATGAACATGGTGCCCGTAATGCAAGTGTCAGGCTTTTTCGCGGCAAACAGGCGTGATATTCGTGTTCAGGAGATCAAACTACCCTTGGAGATAAGTTTCCTACCGAATCTGAGATTTTGACCCAACCCTAAAAAATGAGGTGAGTCAACCATCATATCATCAACCTATCGTTGAACTCTTGGCATGGAAATTGCCCTTTCCAACCAAGATTTTGAAAAGAGAAACGTTCAACGGCTCACATTTCCGCATAATGGAAATGATTTACATGACTCTGCATCAAAATTCAGGGAAGGTGCTTTTCCAGTTAGTTTTCGATTCATACCTTCTCTCGTTTGACTGTATGTTGACTGCCCTTTCTCGAGTGTAGGTCAAAATCTCAGGGGAATTCGGCTCTCTCTTTATATTCTATCTTATATATCTATAGTTGTGGTATTTGTGTTTTTATTTTCTGTTTCGGTTTGTTTTTTTTTTGTTCTCTTTATATATATCTACTATATATTATTTTTTTATTTCTTCTTTTTCTTCGTATCATGTTTTTGCTTACTTATTATTATTAGTATAATTTATATATGCTCTTCATTCTGCGACGTGTTCTCTTTCCAATCTTGTTTTCTCTTATTCTATCAGTCAGTTTTTAATTATTGCAATAGATGTAATATATTGATATATTAATTTTTTATTTATTTTTATTTGTTAATTTAACTGCTACTTGTATTAATATTTTATGATATATCTTTCTCTATTATATCTCTTCTCTATTTTTTCCTTCTTTTTTTTCTATATCTTTTATAAGTAGCAATAACTGACACTGAATCATCCTTTTACATAATTATCTCTGTATCTCTGTATCTTTTTTCTGCGATGCATCGTCTGGAGCGGCCTATCGTCAACCTATTGTGACCATGCGTCGCTCCCTGCTTGTTTGTTATTGTTTTTAGGTTTGGCGATCTCCGCTAATATATCTGTCTCTATATCATGTCTGTGGTCATTATGATGGTGTTTTTGTTGATTATAGACTCCTTTAGTATTTTTTTTCTCTATTTTCATTATATATTTATTTTTTATTTTATATTATATTTTCGTGTTTCTAGCTAGCTCACCGACGGATGCGTTGGACTGTCACCTATTGCAAATGGCCGGACCGACCGTGTGACCTTCATCGTCAGAGAAAAAAATGTCGCAGTAATGAATGGAGTGCGTCGAGAACTACAATACAACTTACTATCTGTCCACTGATATTGGCAAAGAAACCGCTGATCGACCTACGAGCATTGAGCTCGAATTGGGCAGCTTGTGTGGCACGACGTAACTTGCTGGCATCGTCTTAGTGTCAGTGAAGGCCACCAAAAAGTGATCGGCCATTTGTGGGCTTAACAGAAAATTAAATATTGGCTCATCGTCACTATTGAGAATGGATCAAAAGGTCTGGAATACTACTCACCTCTTGCTTTGAATCAAAAGCGGTCGAGCAGCAGCGGCACTCTCGCATGGTTGAGCTTGTTTTACCCACCCAGCAATATCGTACGTCGTCGGATAGCAGGACATGGCATGCTCGAGCACGAATTGTAAGGGACGGTTTGCTCGATGTATGAGTCTGAATTTCATAAAATTATAAGGGAAATATTATCTCTCACCATTTACAATATTCGATTTACAAGAACGAGCCGCCCAAGAGAAGGGCCAGCAAGAAGGAGAGAGGAGAAACAACACCGAGAAAGAAAGAATCGCTTGTTTCAGAAACTGTTCTAGACAAAAACATTTCAAACCTGGATTCATCTCCAAGATGTACAAATATCCTTTCCAAAAGGCTCTCATCAGTGGCTCCAGGAAACATCGATTCCTCTTCCAAGATAGCAAATAGTCCTCGTTTCTCTTCAGAGCGTCGGTCAATATCAGTACACGATAACTGTCAAAAAGGTTGTTGAGAAAAACCTCTTTGATGCTTTTTATGGATTGAAAACTTTCAAGAATCAGATCTGATATACCAATTGTTGCCGTTGATCTAACAGCCTAGTCAGAGGGCAAGGCGAAACCAGCGGCATTTCCATCTCCACATCAATCTGTTCTCGAGAGTAGACCTAAACGAAATGGCTAAGCATGTCGACGGTGCGATGAGTTCACAATAAGAACAAGGCAATACCTCCTGTGCTTCTACGAAGCAGACATTATAGAAAAGCTCAGCTACACGTTCGTTAATGTAATTATGGACGAGATCATTGAGGCCGAGAAAACGTTGCCCATTTCCTTCGGTCCAACTCGTATGGAATGAAGAACCAGTGTAATCAAGAACCTGAAGCATAACTAAGAGTCAACCCGAATAAAAAGGACCGAACTCTTAAAAGAGTGGTTAGTGGTGAGATTAGTGCAACCAATGATTCAACGACTACAGGATGAGTGAAAATAATAGAACGAATAATGAATACTAAACAGACTGACCGAAATCCATGTGCAAGCAGCATTAGACAGAAGTGCCTTGTTGATGAATTCAACCACCGTGTAAAAGAGTTCCTGATAGAGACCAGCGCAAAACGATACCAATGCTTCAGGAGCGTCTGGTCCGCGAGAAGTGAGATTCATGCGACTAAAATTGATCCATTAGTTAATACCTCGTGTCGAACGATTTCTCAGACTAGATCAAAAATGGGTATGGCTTCACTAATTACACAACGGGAGTGACTTAAAAATCATGATTGAGAGGATGCCAAAAAGAAGACGTTACCTCGCCGCGGTGACTTTAGCAGCAACCGTGCTGCTGGAAGTCTTGCCTCGGAATAATGCATTCCCAAGGTCCTCCGTCGATATACCCAGGAGAGCGGCAGCATGTTGAGCATGAACTACTCGGAGAAAATGAGCACGTTGGCGGCTGCCGGTGTACAGCCGGCTGCTTGTATGTGCAGAATTGCGGCCAGAACAGATGAAATAGCAGAAATTTGACTCTCAGAGAAACCCAGGTCCGTCAACGCATGTAGAAACGGTTCCATGCCTGAAAAAGTAGCACATTTCAAAAATATCTCGGAGATAAGAGGGGAAAACAACTGACTTCTTTGGCACTCTGTCGATCCTCTTCCTTGCAATATGGCACGATCGCCGGCTGTTCGATCGAATCTAGTTGAAGTCTTTCCCGAAGCGCTCCTTCCGCACCTTCCCATAAGTAATAGAACACATGAAATGTCGCTTCACCACTTCGCCTTCTCACCACGCGATCAGCCTCTAGCAAGGATACTTGTAACCGAGCTGATCTACAAAACGACAAATTTAACGATGGTCATCAAGGGAAGGCTGTGGGCAAGATCATACCTCAGAGCTGCAGCCTTGTCAAAGCCAAGTGAAAACAAATGAAGGAAACGTGTTGAGTCCCGATGGAGAGTAGAAGCAGCGTGACCAAAAGCTTCCACGACTCCTAAGGCCAATGCCAACTTCTCATCTGAATCGAATAGTTTGCATTTGGTAATTGCCTCCGGAAACGCGGGACCTCTCAATCACTGCGCATGCTTAATAACACCTCCTGCACTTGTAAGGTAACATCTTGTGGAGGGGTGGGTATACAGAAGATGATTTCTTGTATGGTAGAGGTCTACCGCTACCATGACGTCACGTTAGGACAAACCTTTAATTTACCTGAACCTCAAGCTTGTTGGCCCTTGATTTCGTCCTCCTTCCCTTTAATGAACTGTTGTGATTGTGATAGCCCTCCGGTTTCAATATAGGACGCCGCTGAACCACGCTCTGCGCTATTCGACAGGGAAAATGTCCACGTAAATGAGGGAAGTGATAGGTGAATAATGCGCTGACAGAACTAACGATAAGAGCCAAATTAGTGCTGAGCAGACAATCTAAGAGGATCTAATGATCGTGATACCTGTTCTACCACCTGAACTTCCACTTGCCCATACATACACCCTTCAAGGTATTGAGATCGCAAATGGAGCGAAGACAGGCGGAAATAAAACGAGTATATGGGAAATGCACATGGGAAAATGGAAAGTGTGGCGGTAGCTGGAGAAAATACTAGTTCGAAATGAAGATTATGGATAATTTTGACTTGTTTTGTTTGTTAACTGCTGTTTTAACGCCGCAGTTCGCGTTGCGAATGTTTCACAAGAATGCTGGGTTGTGAACAAAACTTTCGCCCCAGGCGGGACTAGAACCCGCACCTCTCGCTTTCCGGGCAAGTCCCGCCTGGGGCGAAAGTTTTGTTCACAACCCAGCATTCTTGTG